GCCCACACAGGGACAGGATGAAGGCTCAGTGCACACCAGCGCCCACACAGGGACAGGATGAAGGCTCAGTGCGCGCCAGAGCCCACACAGGGACAGGATGAAGGGTCAGTGCGCGCCAGAGCCCACACAGGGACAGGATGAAGGGTCAGCGCACACCAGAGCCCACACAGGGACAGGATGAAGGCTCAGCGCACACCAGCCCACACAGGGACAGGATTAAGGCTCAGTGCGTGCCAGGGCCCACACAGGGACAGGATGAAGGGTCAGCGCACACCAGAGCCCACACAAGGACAGGATGAAGGGTCAGTGCACACCAGCCCACACAGGGACAGGATGAAGGCTAAGAACACCCCAGCCTAGACCAGGACATGAAGGCTCAGCACACACCAGCATTCACACGGGGACATGAAGGCTCAGTACATGCCATTCATAATACCAGGGGCTCATACACAACAGAGAGTCAGTGCAGCCTGTGAAGTCACGTGTTAAAAGAGTTTGACATCCATCAGGCCACACCTGAGGACTCAGTACACTATGCTGTCCCCACCAGACACCTTTGGCAGCTTCCCCTCAGGCCCCAGTACACCGCCACTCAGTCAGGTACAGGCTGTACAGACAGGTTATTTACTTAATATTATAACCTTGGCCCCTCTTCACCCTGGAAAGGAGGTGGGCTATGGGTCTGGGCCCAGCATGCATCCCCACTTCTCTTGGGGTTTATCCCTCCCCCAACTCTGCTGGGTCTCAGGGCCACAGAGGGGGTGGAGATGGAGATGGGAGAGCAGGGGGGAGCCTGCAGGGGGCCACAATGGGGCAGACAGAAGCAGGGGTATGGGGACAGGGTCCTGGACCCAGGATACTTGGGTCCACAGGGTGGTGAGCCTCAGAGCAGGCGACAGGCATTGCCCACACTGTCCACTGAAGCATCAAGTTCATGACTGTAAGGGGCAGTCCAGTCTCGCATGAACACAGCCTCCAGCTGGCTCCGGAGGCCACCCCGCCCATTCTGAGTCACCAGCAATGAGGTGCCTGCTGTCTCCATGAAGTAGCTGCCAGACCAGTTGGAGGTTCCTACAGGGTGGGGGACAGAGAGTCAGGGCCCTGTGGGGGCAGCTGGGGCCTAGAGCCCTTCCTGTCTCCCTCTAGCCCACTGGCAGCTCTCCAGACACTCACCGATGTAGGCGGCACGCTCGGTCACCATGTACTTGTTGTGGTTGACACGGGCATATGGGATCCGGGCCTGGGCCTCGTCCGCAGGGACCACAAAGAGTTTCTGAGGAGGAAGGAGGACAGGAAAGAGTGTGAGATGCTAGGTAGTTCAGAGAAAACACAAAGTTGGGATGGGTGTGAGACAGGTCTATGAGAAAAAGGTTTGTTTTATTTACCCAGACACCTCAGGGGCAGAAAACAGCCTAGACAAGGCGATACATTCAGTTAATACTTGCTGAAAGGGGAGCCTGGGTTGCTTCTTTAACCACCTTGTTCCTTCTAGAGTGGTTCTTACTCCTCAGAAGTCACCTTAGGGAAGACTTGGGCTGACACAGGTGCTTCCTTTGGGTCCCCTGTCCTGGTCCCTCCCTGCCCCTGCCTGTGTGCAGGCCTGGCCTCGCCCCAACCTCTTTGCCCCATGGTCGGCCCACAAGGACACAGCTCACTCTGGTCGTCCTTGTCAGGTGACAATGGGACTCCATGGGGCTCTGTCCCCATATTGCCCTCACAGAAGCTCAGGGGTTTGAGGTGGCCACTTACCACCTGGATGTCAGAGTGGGTGTGGTTGTCACGCAGGGCAGCCAGGGACAGCAGGAAGGCCCGCATGGACGGCTCCGAGTGGCCCCAACAGCTGACCAGCAGGCGCACCCTGACGCCTTTCTCATAGGCGGCCCGCCGCAGCCCATCGTCAATGGCGGGCCAGAATCTGGGGCAGCAGAGGTGAGAGAGGGTGGCCTTGTCCACAGCAGCCCACCTTCACTCTTGGGCAGAGCCTGATTCTTACTCAGTTTATGAGAACTCCCAAGTCCATTTCCAGCTCCCAGCGTCTGTTTCTGTGTATCTCATACTCCATCGACCCTGTTTCTGCCCCTCAGATCCCAACCCTCCTTCCACCACCACGTTCACTGTCCTCAGCCATCCTCCCACTGTCCTATCCCAACCCTGCCTGCTGCACTCAGCTCATCCTTACTCCCTAAACCCCAAGCCCCACATCCTGTCTCCAGCCCTGCTCTTCCAGGAATCCCACTCCGTTTCCATCTCAAGCTCCCAGACCTCCTCAGCCTCTTCCTGGGGCTCCCCATCCATCTGTTCCCACACCTCAGCCCCCTTCCTGCTCTCTAAGCCTCACCACCTCCTCTCCCCCTCTTGGTGGCTTCCTGTCCCACCTGCGTGGATGGGAGAACTCCATGGTGGGCAGGTAGTTCATAACTGCAATGTAGATGAAACTCCGGGCGCTGTCGACCACGTTGAGCAGAGCCTTCAGGTCTGGGGTACGGCCACTGGGACACAGTGGAGGGGGTGCACTCTGAGGGTGAAGGGACAGTCAGGATATGTGCCCTGCCAAGGCACTGTGGACCCTGTGTTGGATCCAAGATGGATCTTAGGGTCTTAGGGATCCTCAGGCCTGATGTATGTAAGGGACAGTGATGTTATTCCACAGGTGAGGAAGCCAAGGCAAAAGAGGATAAGTGACTTGCCTAAGGTCACAAGCTGATAAATGGAGCCAGCATTTGAACCCAGGTTGCCCGGTTCCAGAACTTAGGCTCTAGCCAGGTGGTTTTTCACGTGTGGCCGCTAGGCCATTGGCATCAGCCTGCCCTTGGAAACTTGTCTCATTGCCAACAAATCAGAATGGACTCCCAGCTGACCCTCCAGGGGGCTTCCTAGGCTGTAACTCACATGGAAGGAGATTGCCTATCTTTCTTCCGTGAAGCAGCTGGGAACCATATACCTTTGCATTGGGAGCGCAATTCCTTACCAGTAAGCCCCCAGAGCACCCTTGGGAACTTAGTAGAAATGCAAATTCTTGGGCCTCACTGCACACCAAGTACTGAATCAGAATCCTGGGTTTTAATAAGCCCTTCAGGCGGTTCAGGAGCTCTGATGGTCAAGTCCGTAGGGAGATGCGCTGCTGATGCAAAGGCTGCATTTCTCCAACAGCAGCTCCTCGGGAGAAGATGGAAAACCTGCTGGAGGATCAGCTATGAGCTGTTTCTAAAGCCATAGTGAGAAGTTTGAGTTTTTGAACAAGGGATTTGGGAGCACAATCACGCGAAGTGTCCCTGCTGTCATCGCTTTATTTCCCTGCCTGGCTCAGAGCCCACCCTCACTGGGCACCTTTCCAAGACCTTTCCCCAGATCCCTCCATCCTCACAACAGGCCCTGAGGCCAGGAGCAGTGCTACCCACCTCACTCTGTAAATGAGGAAACTGAAAAGAAGGAAGTGGTCATGAGGAACCCTAATTCCCTGTGAGTCTTGAGGTTGTTATAATAAAGGTCCCCAATGAATCACACTTCCCTGTGTCCACATCCTGGCCATGAAACTTGCTCTGGTCAACAAGACATCAGCAAATGTGATACAAGCAGATATTTGAAAAACACTTGTAGGTTAGACTAGGCCTTCTTGGCACAGAGCGGCTACACAGAACAGCCAGAGCTAACCGATTGGAGGTCTGTGGTCAACCAGCAGCCAGTATCTGTACCAGACATATAAGTGAGTCTCTCTCACACAAGCCAAGCCCAGATGAACCATCTTCCTTACTCAACTTGAGAACAACAATAAAAACAGCAGTGCTTACTACAGCATGTAAAGAACACCTGCTGTGGCCAGAGAACTAGAATTACGTGAGTGAACCAAGTGCAAACAACAGAGCCACACAGCTGAAACTGGCCAAAATTTGGGGACTCAGAATTTTATGAGCAAATAAAACAAATCTTTCTGTAACCATTAAGTTTTGGAGTGATCTGTTGTGAAGCAATAAACAACTTAACCCACTCCTTAGGGAGCTGTGATTGCCTAGTGGTAAGGAGCTGTGCTGTCAACCCAAAGACACACAGTTCAAATCCATCAGCTGCTCTGCAGAAGATGGGCAGTCTCTTCCTGTTCAATTTGTTGAACAACAGATCGGAACCTTGACCTATCTTATGCCATCCTCCTCATCTCTGACACACTTAAGCCCGTTGCTACCGTCACTGTCAATTCATCCCATTGAGGGTCTTCCTCTTTCTTTGTTGACCTTCCATCTTTCCAAACATGATGTCCCTTTCCAAGGAAGAGTCAGCAACATGCCCAAAGTATATGCAACAAAGCTTCACCATCCTTGCCTCCAAGGAGCACCCTGGCTGCTCTGTTTTCAAGACATAGCTATTCTTTTGGCAGTCCATGGGGTATTCAGCACTCTTCTCCAACACCACAGCCCAAAGGCATCAATTCTTCTTCTGTCATCCTTATCAATTTTCCAGCTCTCAGATGCGTAGCACATGACTGAAAAGATGATGGCCTGAATCAGACATACCTTAGTCTTCAAACTGAAATCATTGTTCCTCAGTAATCTGGAGAGGTTCCAGACAGCTGTGTTACTTATATCCTCTGAAAACCTGCTAGAGGATCAGCTAGGAGTTGGTTCCAGCTCCAGGGTATATTACAACAACCTCATCAGACAATTTCTGGCCTCGTCCCTCATTCTGCCATTAGGAGGGAGAATGGCTTTGGAGGAGGGAGTGTGACCATGAGAGAGATTAGGAAGAAATTTAAGCAGGCAAGGTAGCTCAGTTGCTGCTCCCATTTCTGCAATTCTTAGCTGAAGGATTTGGGGCAAGACTCTTTGTTCCTCTGTACCTCAGTTTCCTCATGTGTAAATGGGCATAATAATAATATTATCACTTCCCTCCTAGAGTTGTGGTGAAGGTTAAATAAACAGATCAAGGGAGCTCTGGTGGCCGAGTGGCAAGAAGCTGCACTGCAATCCTGAAGGTAGACAGTTCGAATCCACCAGATGCTCCTCTAGAAAAGGAGGGGAAATCTCCTGTGCCAGTTGGATTGGATTTGACGGTACACAACAACAACAAATCACCACACCAGATTACTCGGCACAGTGCAAGCAATAAGGCCTCAATAATTGCCAGGAATAATGAAAAGTCTAAGTAACAGTAATATTTCCATTATTATGATGAATATTAAAAAGACAATAGAGGTAAGTAGCATATAGGCATGTCCTGGCCACAGCAGGTATTCTCCACAGGGCATCCAAGTTGAGTACAATTCATAACAACCCTATGAACAGCCGACCTGAACCCTGCCCTCTCCTGCACCATCCTCCTCGTCTCTAACACACTCAAGCCCATAGCTGACGTCACTGTGTCAGTCCATCCCATTAGGGGTCTTCCTCTCCTTTGCTGACTTCCTTTCCATCTTTCCAAGTATAATGACCCTTTCCTAGGAATAGCCTTCCCTAGCTATGCGTCCAAAGTATGAAAGACGAAGGCCTGTTCCTCATCTTACCCTGGGCTCTGTGCCTCTCTGTATCCATCTGTGAGCATGGAGCTGAATTCCTGGCTGTCTCCTTCCTTCTATGAGGGAGGAGAGAGAAGGGACATTGGGAGATGAGGATCCTTGATTTCAGCCTGGAGGATAGAAGACCTCATTGCCATATAGGTGGAACCAGCTCATAGCTGGACCCTCCAACAAGTTTCCAAGGCTGTAAGTCACACGGGAGGAGACTGCCTATTTTTTTTCCAAAGAGCTGCTGGTGGATTAAAACTGTTAGAGATGCTTGGCCTTTAGGGTAGCAGCACAAGTTTCTATGGAGTGTTGTTATTACGTGCCATCAAGTCAGCTATGACTCTAGTGACCCTGTGAACAACAGTTCTGACCTTCACCCTATGCTGAACCCTCCTCATGATCACCGAGAGCTTCTAACCCATAATTACAGCCACTGAGTCTTCCTCTCTCTCTCACTGACTCTCCACCTGGGCCACTAGATACACAGCTGAGAGGTGGGTGTGGGGGAGCAGAACTGATTAGTCCGTCCCCCTTCCTTGCCCACTTAAGACAAAACAAACAAGACAGCAACAAACAAGGGTGTTTCTTCCCTCTAATTGCATTGGGAAAGTCTGCTGTCAGAGACCTCTCCAAATTACTTAAGAGCAACAATGTCAGTCTGGAGACTAAGGTTCGCCTGATACAGGCCATGGTTTTTGCAATGACTTGCTATGTATCAGAAAGCTGGACAATGGGATGATAGAAGGAGAAGTGATGCTTTTGAGCTGTGGTGCTGGAGAAGAGTATTGAATATACCATGGACTGCTAGGAGAACGAATAGATTCATCCTAGAGAAGGTGAAGCCAGACTGGTCCTTGGAGGCAAGGATTCTGAAGCTTCGTCTGACATACTTTGGACATGTTGCAAGGCAGGACCAATTCTTGGAGAGGGACGTTATGCTTGGGAGGGTGGAGGGACAGCACAAGAGAGGAAGATCCTAAATGAGATGGATTGATTCAGTGACTGAGGTAATGGGGGTAGGTGTGTCAGAGACAATAAGATTGGCACAGGATAGAGCAGGGTTTAGGGGTCACTATGGGTTGCAGGTGACTCAACAGTACATAACAACAACACATCCCACAGGAGCCTCCCATCCTCCATCTAAGGACTTGAAAAGAGTATCCACAGCATAGGAGAGGAGGACTGTGGGCTGGGATAGAGGAAGGAACAAGTACTGGGATAGCAAGCCAGAGTCCTGAAGGATGAGGAGACAGTGTAAGGCTGTCACAAAACTGGGGTACATGTGGCCACCAATGGGCTCCCCTTCTCCGTGGCACACCTTCCCCAATTCATCACTCAAGAGAAAAAGAGAAGACAGATGACAAAGTGTCTTTCCTTGGACTGAAGGTCTATCACTATCAAAGGGTATGTTCATTATCCACCATTATTCATTCTTTTTTAAAAAAAAATTGTGTGTGTGTGTGTGTGTGTGTGTACTGTCAAATTGGATCTGACTGGTATAGAAGGAGATTGCCCCTCCTTTTCCAGCAGAGGATCTGATAGATTCAAACCACGTACCTCTGGGATTGCAGTGCAGCTTCTTGCCACTAGGCCACCAGAGCTCCTTTACCATCACTTGTTCTTAACTGGGCCCTAGGCCTCCATCTGCCAGGAGTAGGGTTGTTATTGCTAGGACTTGGTGACTCAATGAATATAAAGATCTGAACTTGGCCTATTTTAATAGGGGGAAGATGAAGGACTTTAGTGATTAAAAAATCAAGTTTACATTTTTAATAGTACTGTTTTTCCAAAAACTTGGTGCTAAAACACGAGAAGGGAGGACGAGCTCAGAGCTTTATATCCTTCTGCTGTTAGGGCCAGGGAGTTCTGACGGCTTAGTGGTAAGGAGCTGCACTATTACCCAAAGGCATGTGGTTTGAATGCTCCACAGGTCAGAGATGGGCACTCTTCCACACGATTTACAGTCTCTGAAAACCCACTGCAGAGGCAGCTATGAGTGGGTTCTGACTCCTCACTTCTGACAGTACACAACAACCAAAACTTCTAGCCACCAGAGGGAAGGGTTGGGGCATTCAACCAAGTCCTGCAACATGGGGTCACCCTAACTTGGAATTAACCGAACAACAAATGTTTTGCAGTTGTTGGTCTGAACTCCTTAATGGAGTTCCACAAACACCAACAGATGTCATCTGTCCTGTGTTACTCATACCTAACATGTGGCAGGGCTAGAACTCAAATTCTTCTCTATCTAGTCTTTTAGTCGTTCTATCAGCCTTCCAGAGGGTGCTCTGGTGAGAGCTGTACTGCTAACCCAAAAGTTGTGCCTCTGGTGGTTTGAATCCACCAGTGGTTCCTTGGGAGGAAGATGAGCAATCTCCTCCTGTGTGAACTACAAGTTGTTTCCAATTCGATGGCAGTGAGTTGAGGGTTTGATCGACCTTCTATGTAGGATAAGGTCCACAGTTTTGGGGACTTCAACAGTCAAGCTAGCTAAAACCAGTAGTTTAAAAAATTAACAAATCAAAATAACAGTTCCTTGTCTGTTGTTAGGTGCCTTCGATTCGAGTATGACTCACAGTGACCCTATGAACAACAGCTGTGTCCTACCCTGTGCCATCCTCACAATCTCCAACACACTCAAGCCCACTGTGTCAGTGCTGGTCTAGAGTACACAATATCCACAGTAAGCAATAGCCAGCACTGTCCAGTAGGACTCTGTGCTGCAATAGGAATGTTCTGTTGTTGTTATGTGCCATTAAGTAGCCTACAACTCACAGCAACCCTAGTTATACTAGCTCTGAAACCTGCCCTGTCCTGAGCCAATTTCTGACAGACCTACTCCCATTTTTCCAGTTGCCAAGTCAATCCATCTCATCCTGGGTCTTCCTCTCCTGTGCTGTCCCTCCACCCTTCCAAGCATGATGTTCTTCTCCAAGAGCTAGTCCTAAGTGGCCACGTGCCCAAAGTATGTGAGACAAAGCCTCAAAATCTTTGCCTCCAGGGAGCAACCTGGTTTCATTCTATCTAGGAGAAACCTGTTTGTTCTCCTGGCAGTTTGCGATACATTCAACACTCTTCTCCAGCATTACAAATCAAAAGCATCAATCCTTCTTCTATCATCTTTAGTTACTGTCCAGCTCTCAGATGCATAGCAAGTAATTGTGAAGACCATGGCCTGGATCAGGTGCACCACAGTCTCCAGACTGACATCATTGCTCTTCAGTGCTCTAGAGACAGCTACAGCCTAAATATAGAATATCGTAGGCTCTGGTCACTTGTGGCTATAGAGTACCTGAAATATGACTGGTGCAACCACGGATATGAATTTTTAGTAATTTTTCACTGGAATGAAATGTAAAGAGTTACATGCACTGATACGAGCAGCACGAAGCTAGATCAATGACTTGTCCAAGAACCCAGTTGGATCTCATTCACCAGCCCTAAAAAGTTGTGAATATCATGATATGCCCATTCTTCAGCTGAAACCAAGGCCAAGGGAAGTTGAGGTATTTAGACAGATGCCTGGCCAAACATCGTGACAGGCTGTGATGGGCACTGATCAGGACACTCCCTCCTCACTAGTTGCTGGGAGGGCCAGGCCATAGGATGCGGCCAGGGTATGGCAGGTTGCCCCTCCCCCCAATCCCAGACTTACTGCCAGGTAGGCCAGAGCAGGGGTCCCATTGAGGCAGATCTCCATCGGTGTCTCTTGATTGTAGTGGGTGTCATAGGACGGGGGCCATGTGGAAGGGATGGAGCTGCCTGCCTGGCCCAGGAACCAGTAGGCCTCGAAGATCTTAGTCAGGTCTCGTGCCAGGCAGCTGCAGTTGTACATGACCACCCCCAGCTCCTTGACCTGTGGAGGAGAGCACTGAGCACAGATGGAGTGGCCTGGTGCCCACTCCAGGTGACAGGCACACTCCCAGCCCCCTCTGGCGCCTCCATCTCTGCTACTCAGTCCATGCCTCTCTCCTCTATCTGGACTTTCAGTTATCCTGTCAACCTTCCATGTGGAGGGAGGTGCAGAGTTTTGGGGATTAAAGGGTGCCCAGGCTACCTGCTCCAAGAACAGCTTAAAACCAGTAAATTTGTAAAACAAATAACCCAAAACAAACTCACACACACACACACACACACACACAACCCAGCAGATTCTTGTCTAGTAAGCTCAATATGTGTTATAGGCAACAGCTGGAGCTGCCCAAAGAATTTTCTATGATGGTGAAAGCGGTCTACATCTGCACCTCCAATATGGCGTTCTGGGTTCCAGTCCCCTTTTCTGCCCTTCTTCCCTCCTTCTCTTTACTTTTAGTCTCCTCATCTTTGCTATTTACCAACCTCCTCTCCAGCCCTTAGTCCCTCACCCTTACCCCTCAATACACCCTCCTTATTATGGATTGAATGTGTTTCCCCAAAATTATGTATTGTAAATCCTAATATCTATGCTTGTCCTTAACATCTAAACTCTGGTGGCTTAGTGGTAAGGAATTGTGCTGTCAACACAAAGGTATGCAGTTCTAATCCACCAGCTGCTCCATGGGAGAAAGATGGGCAATCTCCTGTATCCTTAACTGCCTCTGAAAACCCATCTGAGGGTTCTGACTTGATGGTACACAACTGTCCTTATAGTCTCACTTAAGAATGAGCGGTCTTTGTTATGCTAACGATACCAGATTAGAGCAGGGAATGTCTCCAGTAATCTCTTCTGAAAAGCAAAACAACAAAAACAACAAGGGAAAGAAGCAAAGATGGAAGAAGAGAGATGCCAAGCCACATAAAGACCACCCAGAAGCAGAAGCTTAGGACCTTCCTCCAGGGCCAAAGTGAAAGTTGTGCTGCCAGCTCAAACCCTGATCCAAGGGAGAAAGACGGGCGGTTTTATAGCCTCTAAAAACACACTGGACGGTAGACCCTTCACCAAAGAAGACATTCAGGTGGCAAACACATACATGAAGAAATGTTCAAAATCCCTAGCTCTAAGAGACACACAAATCAAAACAACTATGAGGTATCATCTCACCCCAGTAAGAATAGCAAAATTTAACAGAACAGCAAACAACAAATGCTGGTGAGGTTGTAGAGAAATTGAAACTTTTATTCACTGCTTGTGGGAGTATAAGATGGTGCAATCATGCTTTCTCAAAAAATTGCTAACAGAAATACCATTTGACCCAGCAATTCCACTACTGGGAATATACCCCAAAGAAACCATAACTGCCACCCAAGCAGATATATCCACACCCATGTTAATTGTGGCTTGTTCACAATAGCAAAGAGTTGGAAACAATCTAAGTGCTCATCAACAATGGATAGCGAAGCCGTAGTATATTAACTTAATGGAATATTATGCTGCTTTGAAAAACAAGGAACTCATGCAATATTATTCAAAATCAGTGACCCTGGAGGACATTATGCTAGTGAAGTATCTCAGTCACAAAAGGACAAATACTGCATGGTGCCACTATTGTAAAATGGGACTGAAACCAGGGTTCGGGGAGACTGAGAAAGATGGGATAAATTATGTATACTGCATTGAAACAGATGAGGGAGAGAACTGTTTAAAAGGGATATATAATTAGGTATTATTGTCATGACAGGAGTCCAGAACGAAGGCTGCATAGTGGAGTGGACTTGGGGGGGAGGGATTATATAACAATGAAAGAATTTTTCTTTTACTTTTCGAAGAGAAGAGCAAACTGAGGGGGAGAGATGGGCAGGGAGAAAAGTGCAACAATGAGTGAATGGAAATCCAAAGTCTCTGTAAATTTTCATTAAAATTAATAATAAAAACAAAACAAAACCACACTGGAGGGTCAGCTATAGGTTGGTTCCAACTCAGGGCAATGAGAAAGAGCATATGCACCAATACCCTAAATTTATATTTCTAGCTTCCAGTAAGGAAAAGAAATTTGTTTGTTAAAGTCACCCACCTTTGATATTTTTTGCTAGAGCAGCACTAGATAACTAAGACAGCATTTGGGACCAGCCATGAGGTGCTGTAGTTCCAACTAAAAAAAACCAAACCGCCAAACTTCATTGCTGCTGAGTTGGAACCAACTTAAAGCTGACTCTTCAGTGGGTTTGGGGGAGCTGTGACTCACACAGGAGGAGACAGCACATCCTTGTCCTGAGTTGCAGCTGGTGGACTAGAATCCAGAGAAGTGCAATTCCCTGCTGTAGATGACTTTCCAATCACTTAAAATGAGGAAGCAGTTTGGGAATTAGGTAATGAGTAAGGGCTGGAAGAGTTTTCAAATATCTGAGGTGTACTTGATTCAGACCACGGCTTTTTCAATCATGTGCTATGCTGTTGAGAGCATATAATGAATAAGGATGACAAAAGAAAAACTGATGCCTTTCAACCGTGGTGTTGGAGAACAGGACTGAATATTCCATGGGCTGCCAAAAGAACAAACAGCTCTGTCTTGAAAAAGGTGCAGCCAGAGTGCTCCTTGGAGGCAAAGACGAGGAAGCTTTGTCTTACATTCTTTGGGCATGTTTCCAGGAGACGGACACCATGCTTGGAAAGGTGAAGGCACCATGAAGAAGAGGAAGACTTCCAACAAGGTGGACTGACACAGTGACTTCGCAATGGTCTGAGTGTGTCAGAGATTGTGAGGTTAAGATAAGATTCAGATCTGTTGTTTAGAAGGTTGCTATGAGTCGTACTCAACTTATCAGCACCTAACAACAATAGTAAAAATCAGGAAAGGCATGTGTCAGGAGGGCTGTATCCTTTTACAACAGCTTTGTGCTGAGCAAATAATTTAAGAAGCTGCACTATATGAAGAAGAATGTGTCCATCAGGATAGGAGAAGACTCATCAACAACCTGCATTATGCAGATGACACAACCTTGCTTGCAGAAAGTAAAGAGGACTTGAAACACTTGCCACAGAAGTCCAAAAACCTTCAATATGGATTACATTTCAACATCAAGAAAACAGAAATCCTTACCAGTGGACCAATAGGAAATTACTATTGGTTGAATGGATAATGGAGAAAAGACTGAAGTTGTCTGGCTGGATTGCCAGATGGAGAAAAGATTGATGTCAACAATTTAATGTTACTTGCATGCACAATCAATCCTCATGGTAACAGTAGTTAAGAAATCAAAAGGCATGTTTCACTGGAAACAGTCTGCTGTCAAGGCCTTTTCCAGGGCTCTAGAGCGCAAGGATGTCCGTTTAAAGGCTTGGTGCCCTGTTGTAAGCCACAGTACTTTCAGTTATCTCCCATGCACCTGAGAGTTGGACAATGAATAGGGAAGACCACAGACGAATCAGTGTCTTTGCACTGTGATGCTGGAGAAGAGGACTGACGGGCACACAAATCTGTCCTGGAGGAAGTGCCACCAGCGTGCTCCTTCGAGGCAAGGACGATCAAACTCTCATGAACTTTGGTCGGACATGTCAAGTCCTTGCAAAAAGGCATCATTCTGGGCAAGGTGGTAAGTCAGAGAACGAGAAAGAGACGATCAACAAAATGTACTGACATAGGAACTATAACAACGAAGTAGAGCACAGATCGTGAGGATACCACAAGATAGAGCAAAGTTCAAATCTGCTGTTTATAGCATTGCTAGGAGTCAGTCAGAAATGGAGCTGGAGAGAGAATGACTGAATTTTGCACAATCAATGACTTATTCATAGCGAATACGTTTTTTAAGAGACATAAACGCAGGTTATATACTTGGATTTCACCTGATGGTATGCATAAGAATCAGATCGATTACATCTGTGGAAAGAAC